TGGAATGGTAGAGGATGAAGACAAATGTCGCTGATGTGTAAGCCGCCTTCTAAATATCGAGTAAGGATTGGGGAGCAGAAGAGAGCACTTGAAATCAGTGTGAACACATTAATGCAGTCTTCGCACATCACAATTAATTCTTGACTTAGTTTTGCGAACTCAAGCTTACTCTTTTGGTTCGAACACTTCAGGCACATACCTCATTATAAAGCCAACGGTTATCTTACCAGACTGGTAACAGTGTAGAATTGGCATGTCATACTGAGAAGAGTATCGGCCTTCAAATGATCGTCGTAGGCGTAGGCTTGGGAAATGACATCATATAGCTGAAATGAGCAAATAAAGTATATAAATGAAAGCAAAAGCGTGCTTCATTCATCCAACTTTCCATTAATAAGGGCTCACCTGGGTGAATCCAATGGCAAAGACACGTCGATGATAGGGTTCCTGCAGCAGCACACTGGCAATCAGTCGAGATGCCGTCTTCCGAACACCTTGATGAGTAAGTTGGAGAAATCAGACAAATAGGGCGACGATTAAATGGCAGACCGCTTATAAGTTGGAGGGTAGGGAAGTGTATGCAAACGCTATTACAAAGTTATATGCGAATTACACATCAGTGCAAATGATCTTGATTAAATGACCCTATCACAAGGACTCGATACTACCGTCAGATGGATAAAATAGGTTGAAATCGAAAACTCCAGTACCTAATACTGTCTTGGTTAGAATTGAGATTGTGCTTGAAGTTGCAGTGCAACGGCTTTACCTCGATGAGAGAGAGTTAGCCGATGGAAGAAGTTCCATAGGAGGCTATTCTCCAGCATCATCTCAGAGGGGGGGAGAACGAGGGAAGTGGAACTTGAGGCTTCCGCACTTGTCAAAAAGCGGCCAAGGAGAGCATTGCAAATGAGGGGACGCAGCGGCAACACGCGGGTGGCCAGACGCTCGAGCCAGCGTAAGACAGATACGAAGAAGTTTTCTATCGCGTACACACCTTGCTCCATTACGGCCGCACGCAGCGGACGCACCAGGTGACGTGACCCTGGAGATTGCTAAAATGCGTTCAGGTAAACTTCTTAGATTACCCAATGGCTACCCACTATCACGCATATTGACCTCCCGGCTGTAGCAGGTTCCGAAACACACAAGTGTACATACACATAAATTAATATGGCAAAATATAATATTCCAAGGAAAATATTCAGTCCATTTCAAAACAGACATCCATTTCTCTTAGAGATTGAAAATAAAAAGAGAGGTTATGCAAACGCACCGAAACTCTAGCCGCCTTCTGGGCTGCAACTTGAAGGGTGAGGTTTGTGAGAAGTGGTGTTCTACCATCACGGTTAACAATGATGGCGAACAGAGTGGCTTGCTTGGAGGTACAACCATCGACACGCCGGATAATTCGAATGACCTGGAAGGTTACAAGGAAAAGGGACTTAGTTTAGTGTTTTCAGAGTGGTACCTCACCTACATGATGACTCACATCTTCATAATTGTGAAATTCGTTGTTGTAAAGCACCACAATGTACTGTTTGTTCGAAGCCATAGCGATAGATTCTGCAGCAGAGGATGCAGTAACATCAAATAGAGCAGGATGGAGGCTGTGAGCTCTGGCAAGCTGATCCAAACACCGCCGCTCCATGCTTTGAGCATCACAGGTTCGCGGGCACGTACGCGGAAAGCTACGGAGACCCAGCTGAGTAGCGTCCCATTCAATAGCGGTGTTGGAAAGATGATCCAAACTAGGTGGCCAATTGTTGTCCTCACTAGGTTTATCAAAAGCCTGTTCGACCTCATTCTTGTCAGCGAGGACACTACTTAACGGCGAACAATCAATACGAGCTGAGCCCTAGCAAGACATGCACGAAAGAAACTCTTAGACCAATGGGAACGATAAGACAGAATGAGAATGTAATAAGAATGTTAACTCACCTGAAGCAGTTGAAAGAGTACAAGAGAAGCGGTATTAATGAGGGGTTGGAGGAGGTAGTCAAATCGGCGCACCAAAGCTTTGGGAAGTTTGGAGAGGATAGATTCCACGCGTTTCATCTCGAGACTTTGCTCCTCGTTAACAGAGCGAAAGACACTCACGTTCGAGGCAATGGCCTCGTCACTCTCCTCTGCGTGGATTCGACACCAGGCACCACTTGTCCATGCCTCCTCGTCCCCACAATCGCAGTAGCCACCGCCCGATGCATGCATCTGGATTTTGATGTGAAGAAGGAGTACTTATGAGACCCACGCCTGAGCGCCTCAATCAAAATTTCGCATAAACGGCACTAAGATTGCAGCAAAATTAAGCAAATTCTAGTACGGAACCGTCCCAATTGCAGATTAATAATGAGAGTCGGTGAGCAGTCATGAAAGTGAGTACATGGATGTGCAATTGTGGGACGAACCCAACAGAATGAATTCAAGTTAACAGCACAAGTAAATGAAGAGTAAAATCGGCACCTTTGAGACAAGTTAATGTCTGTTTGAGGAAAAAATGCACCTAAGACAAAATAATGGTGCAGAAAAATTGCATTCCCAGGCTAAATTCAACCAAAAGAACCTACAAGACCAATCTCATGCCGCACCAATCAGGCGGGCATGTACCTGTTCGATGCGAAAAATTTCAAGACGTTTGGTACATGAAACAGCGCATTAAGAATCCTATTAAAAGGAGATAATTCGATTTGATATTCCTGTGTTTGGCGGCACTAACCATCAAGGACAAAAGTAAATAGCTTGGGCAGAAACACAATGGTGACATACCAGATTAGAAAAACTGGTGCATTGACTCGAATTTCAAAATCAACCCAGTAACTCGACTTTAGGTTTAGGCAATCAGCCCAAAGTGCATGAAGCACGTGCGTGGCAGGTGTTTTTCAGATAGAAATAGAACCTTATGCCGTAAACAACATACACTAGCCTTTTGCCAAATTAAGCCCATTCGCATAACAATTTGTTAAAAAACGAGCCACATTTCACGTAACAAATGTCTAAAAAATGAATGATAAGTGGTGTGAAAGCGTTTGCAACGCAGGAGTGCAAAAAAGTCGAATGAAACTCCTACCTTGTATCTATGGTTGGCGTGGATGCTTGCGAAAAAGCAAGAGCGACAGAAAGCACAGGTCGGGTCTGTTGAACAGTCTCTAGACAGAATAACGTGGATTTTAAAAAAGTTAAAATTACATACCGCTAAAAAGGATGTCATATTATGAATAGCCAATAACTGCACAGAGGTTATTGTCAGGATACTAATAATACCAGGAATGAAAATTGTAAACTGAGGAATAGGAAGCAAGGTTAAGCCAAAGGAATGGGATACGCACTTGCAACGAAATGTCGGTTCCTGTTCTTCAAAGATACGACCACAGGGTGTTCGCATTTTAGGACATACAGCAGAGAGCCTCTCAGCAAGCCGATCCAAAGCATCTTTTCTGCTTGTTGATGCCTTTGGAAGCGATAAAGGTGCTGAGACTGAGGCGTCAACATCTCCACTGGAGTTGACGGGGAAGGCATTGGCCAAAAAAGCCTCAAAGTCAGCGAAGATGGACTCTAAAAGGTGATTGTATTCCACTAATTCCGCTTCACTAGACGTTTCATTAATTGACTGGCTGCTGAGAGAAGCAGCAGCGTCCTCGGCAGTGGCAACCTTTGGAAGGCAGGTAGAGTAGGCGGCCGACTTTATAGCCGCGTAGAGCACTTCTTCAAAACCCTTTTGGTTTGAAGACGCAAAAGCTTCTTCTAATAGCTTCAAAATAAAATCATGGGAACAACTCAGAAGGGGTCGGGTTCTAGAGGCTTTCCAAAAGGCAACGTGTTAAAGTCAAAATACCAAGTGAGTAAATACCAAAATGGTCCTAGATTTACAGGGTCAAAGCTCCAATACAAATGTGCACTAGATCTATTTGTTATTATTGGCAAATTCCATTTGAGTAAACATGGAAGATTCAAAAACCTTGATTGCCTTTGAAAGGGAACATTTGTGGCTAATAAAGGTCAGAAAAAAAGTGCTGAACATGCAACGGTACATGATTAGTGAAAGAATTAAGTAAGGGATGTAACAAAAGTAGTAGCACTGCGAAAGGAGAACTACTCAGAACTGATGGATAATTACGTGCCCAAGTATTACGAAAGCAAAGTACCAAATCACTAAATAACCCCACCTCCAAGATGGATCGTTGACGAAACATCACTTCGACCCGGACTTATACGCGACCAGAATAAACACCAAGTAACTTCGTTCTTAATGGCTAGTTTGCGAAGAGTTTTAAGCCAATGTATGAAAGGAAGGTATGTGTTCATACAAACACTGAAAGGTATTTATTTGACTATTGATAGATATGGAGAATAGAAGTTGATTGCTTTACACCCGCCACAAATCATAAATATTTAAAGCAGTTGATGGTGCAAGGAGTGTGCAAAAGAAAAGTGTAAAACGCTGCACACCCGACCTGTTAAGATTTTGTTGAATTTATGCGTTTTAGGCTCAACAAATGTGATCGTAAAAGCCACCCGGGAATCACTAGGCGCTTGATTGGGCGCTTTTGTCAAGAAGGAACTCTGTTAAGTTTGACAAATTTGATCCCATATGGTTCCTACAGGTTTGCAACTACGCTCCACATTAGTGTTGTTAACCAGAAAATGAGTCTTAATGATGATGAATCTTTTATTATGTGATCACGTGATATCTGATGGTTACTTCAGTATTCCTTCTGCCTTTACACGCGTAGGCTTACCTTCGCATCCTGATAGGCCCCTACCAATTCTTTTACCACTAAAATGAACGTACTCTACCCAACGCGATGCCTTCCTTTTCTCAGCGGGAATTCTCGAAACGCTACAATGATCGCATCACGATCCGGTGCAAATAATGATTCACTACGTGTTGATGGCACTTCAACCTCTTTCCAATTCACAAAGTCGGTAATAACATGAGCCCCACCAAGATTTGAAACGATAATCTAACATGATCTATTTTTGACGTTCGTTACTCATAACATCATTAGACTTCAAATTCAATTTACGGTGCATGGGACTTGCGTGAATGCAAAGGAAAAAGAGGACCCTTCTGGTACCAGTTGTCACAGCATATTCGATGATGCAAGTCTCAAGCCATCCACCCAAATCATAGCCTCTAATGTGGCTAAGAGGACGCAATTAGCCCTCCCAGCACCTTTTAATGAGTCTAGAGCTACATTCGATCCAGAAAGAGGAATCAGAAACCGCTAGTGTATCCACTGCCAGTCGTCGGAACGCAGGTCCAAACCAGTGCAACAGAGTCCGACAGAAGGAAGTTAAGGTGATCATCGCCTGCATCTATGGGTGGATGCAGTTTGGCCTCGATTATTAAGAACTCGCCAATGGAATACAGAAATTGAGATATGAACACAGAGGCCATTCTCAGCCCCCCTGTTATAGTCAGAGATTCTCCTGCTCATGTATATGCACCTCATCCGCATTTCAAAAATTTTGGTACTATAGGCATAAGTAAAATGACCGTCAAAACGAATGCCACTCATACTGGTGATCAAGTGAGCAAATTATCAAAACCAATCTTGGATTTAAATAAAACGAAACATTCTGGACGGTCTACAAAAGAATCGATCAGTTCATGAGACAACTGCTATCCGCCCAATCCTAACCTTGTTAGTTCATATTGGTGGATATTGTGCAGCAGATTCATCTTACCGTTATTCATCCTTTATATTTAACAATTGGAACGAGTTTAACGAGGACATTATTCGTCATTACACTAGGGCACAGATAATGTGGGTTAAGCTTCCTGGAATGTTTTTGCAACGAATCACGAATTCCTCCAATAATGCAGGAAGCAAAGCTTGAGCAGAGCATAAGTGCTTCGACAAAAGATGAGACTAAGGGTGCAGACATGCTTTGAGTCTAGGCAACCAGCAGTTGAATTTGAACCATCGCAGCGTCTCATACCAATAGACTTCTCAGAGGATAAATTTGGAAATGGCAAAGTGTGAAACAGATCCACATTCCCATTTAAAAGATACGATTGGCGGGAATTGTGTGCTATCCAACGCAACGCCCACTTGTCACGACACTAAAGTGCAGAAAATTCGCACATTTTCTGGCAATGATGGCACCCATTGCCGAAAACTTTCTAGGTTACCGACGAGCAATCAGTGCCGGTGCGATCAAACTGATAAGTCAACCACAAAGACCCTTTCACCGCCCCTCCTCGTCATTTACAGAGGTGAAGTATTTATGGGTAGGATCGTTAAGGGTTTTGACTTGTCTAAAGCACGAAAAATGTTGCAACAACAAAGGGCAGCCTCCAACTAGCCTTTGACAATTCGCCAAGTTATTCATGCAATAAATGCGGTTCCCCAGTTTTAATTTTTAGCAGAGCATCACGTAAGGAGAAAAACTTGAGGATCTACCACCTCTAACTTTGCAAAGAACTGTTAGCGGGTGGCTTCTTGTACACCATCAATGTATCTAGGCAACACGAATCTCCGATTGGTACATAGGAGGAAGCAGTGAGAGCTACAATCTCCTTACATCACTTGGGAGCAGTTGGCGACTATTTGTAGCGGAGAGCTCCAAGCCACCATGAATCCAATTATAAGCCAAAGCTTTTGCTAATGCTTCACGTCTATCAATATAGCCTACCATAAACGCGACCAAAACCCTTATTTCAAGGTGTCTAACATAAAATAACTAAAGGACCGAGGTAAATTTCTCACTTGAAGCCTGCTGTTGTGGTCCTGAAACAAACCCTGTTAGTTGAGCGAGACGTCAAAAAAAGCTACTTAAATGACCAACGTTCGCCACCTCACAGTAATCAATCGCATTCATCTTCATTGACCTGGTGAAACAGATAAAAAGCCTTATTATATCGGGTCCCCGTGGAGTGAAACTAAGAGACTTTACGTATGAATGAATCCCAGATGCCTACACGGAGACGCACTAACTATTAATAAAAAAACAAGCAAGATACCATTCCTGTTACGACTCTTGTTGAAAGTTCTTTCTTTAGACTCTCTATGAACAAAAAGAGGTTCCCTATGGCTAGGCAAAGTAGCAATCGAAAATTTCGACAAAAGCGAACATACCAAGTAACGGTACTCAAGAGACCACAACACAACTGTCGAGCGCATTCAACTAAGAGTGGTGAAAAATAACTGGCCCCGAAAACTCGTCTAACATTTGAGGAGAGGCGCATTCTGTTTTGCATACTCGTTCTAAATCAAACGAGTGAACCGACTACATTTTAGTACTTGAAAGGATACCGTAACCTCACATGCGCCAATAGAAGTTGCGAGTTCATATAATTAATAAAAAAGTGCTTTTCCGTACCTCTGCACGTACATGTAAACAGTGTAGTAATCTAAAACAAACAGAAAGATATGACAACTGCGTGGCCATAAGAAGTCCATCTTTACCCAGCACCGCTACTAGCAGTTGGAATCACGGAGACGATGGCTTCATCAAAGCACATAAGTTGTGAAGCAGGTTGGGCGACTGAAGATGATAAAGCCACAGTTGAAGGACTAATTGGAGCTCTTGGTGAAGGTGCCTGAGGTGTGAAAAATTCATCTGAAGAGATGGAAATAGAGCATGAAGAATTCTCATTACTGTCCTCCATGTTCAACCGATGGAAACTCAGCGCCTCCCGCCAGTTTGTTTCAAATCCAACGCTGTTTTCATTTGGCGGTGACCTTGAGTCCCGGACAAGCTCGACTTTCACGTCGCTGTACACGCAGGAAGTCAATGATATTTGAGGCCGTGCATACAAATCTAAACGCAGGCTGAAACACGATTAAATAATAATTACACAATGGGCCCCAAAACGTCAGACAAAAAGCGAGACTTACGCAGAGTCTTTCTGGGCAGATTCCTTCAATTTTCGACCATCAGATGATGATTGTAGTCTGCGTTCTATCAACGTTGTTAAAGTGAATGGAACACTTACGCAGTATAGTGCAATAAGAATTCGGCCAAGTGTTCTTAACGACCCCGATTGCTCTTAAAGCCGATTCCCGAGAATCAAATTCAACGACTGCACACTTTTCCTTGCCGAGAAAACCAATGAGGGAAGCTGACTTGACTAGATCCCGAGGTATCACTCTGCCTGGATCGACGATGCGCACAAGCTTGACGTCCAAGTTCATCGACTACTTAATGAGCTAATCAACTAGCAACATACCTCGAAGACTTCACTAACCGAAAAAACGGTTACAACATCCGCCTCTGTAAAGCGAGTTATAAGTATGGACTTTGAATAGACAGACTTGTCCCAGTCCGGAAGTGGATGCTTACGCCTTATACGCATACCTAGCACAAGATAAGAATAAACATTTTTACCGTCATCAGAGATCTCTATTTGAGCTGAACTTTTTAATGCTCTCCGAATCACATCTTCGTCATTCGTTAGCGTTTGAACACGTCGAAATGCAGCAATGGTAGAAAGCTTCACCCAACCCTCTTTGTTGGATCTAACGGACCTCAAAAGAAACTGGTCCTTCAGAATATTCGCATCAGAGAAATAAAACTCGATTTGCCGCAGAATCCTGTTTTCAAGACTGCCGTCGGTCTCATCAACTGGAGAAATGAACTGATGAGCTGACGTGGATTGCACATCATCCAAAGACCCGTCAGCTGTTAGTAAGTCTTGAACAAATTAGGGTGAAAAGCATATAGTTTGTACCTGATTCACGAGACTTTACTGAGGAATGTCCAGAATCGGGGTTGATGCCATCCAAATCGCCCGCAGCCTGCATCACAGCTCAACAGCACTATGCTCGGCGAAATGTGTTTAATCAGATTCAACAAAACAAAATCATATATATCATTTATAGATTTGAATTTACAACATATTGCAAACAAAAAATTAATTTCGAAAAAAACCAAAGATTTAACAACGTCGCGTAGCGTCCTGAGACCTCCTGGTCGGTATGAGAAGTCAGCAAGTGCAGCTGGATACACGTATTCTGAAGACGAAAGGACAAATGGGCCTGGGCATGGTCCGAAGACTAGCCCACGTGTACGAGGGTTAGACAAATTCTAAAGCGACTATCGAACGCCATGTGATCACGTTGCCAAGCATTACACTGCCTTTCTTATTTGAGCTACGTCCTCAGCACTCTCTCGTTACTGCACCTCCCCCACCATCCATCACAACGTATTCGGGACTACAAGAAAGCACCCAAAAGCAGTCCACGTTATTCGACAGGTGTCACAGAACTAAGAAAAGTGCTAGATCTCGGCGCATTCAAGTAGATCTGGAGCTACTTTCGGTCTGACAGCCAGATTCGGGGCCACATACGTGTGTTGACCATCAATTGCTTCCGAGACTAGACAGTGAATCTCTGGTCTAAAACGCATGTTACAAGAAAAACCGGATTAGGCACTGTCCCGCATATAAGAAGAATGGTCGTGTAATTTTCGAAACGAAACTTGACCAGATGGTTCACAACGGTCTCGCTTCTATTGTCAATAGTTTGTCTGTGAAACACGATAATAAGGTAAGGCAAAATGCACACGTAAGACAAAATCTTTTCGTTGTGAGGAATTTAAAGATTTCCCACAACTGACATAAATGCGCCTCCTTTACACCATAGGTACATGCAACAAGCAGCACATGCTACGATAGAGGCTGTTAAAAAAATCGGGTTTGCTCTCTGCTGCCATCAGTGTAGCGTCCCGAGACTTTCTATAGTACGGAAAAACAGTGAGTGAGGCTGAATACATATAGTCCTAAGGGTCGAAACAAATTGACCTGAGCAAAAGCCAGACAATTCCTAAAGTGACCGCCGAACGCCAGGTTTTCACACAAACAAAGCATTACAGGAATAATGCTAGAAATTATAAAAAAGTTAAACCAACAGTCACTGTAGTAGTTTGTATGCTTGTCTACCTGGTGCCCGGCAGTTATTGTGGTATTTTTCCAACCCTTGTACGCGTGGGTTTGCCTCTAGGCTCTCCTTGGCTGTGGCCTTTATTTCTTATCAGGTACTAAAATTCTCATGACTCAGCATAGCGTACCGTTTGTACAACCGGATAATGTAAGCGGACAAACTATTACACAGACTGTAATATCTACTAGTGTTAAAGTTGACCTTGATAGGAGTGAGGCAGGAAGCGGATTTAAGCGGGAAACCATTGCGCTAAGACCGTAGAGAGTCCCCTTCCGGGTGATATCTACTATTCGGCTCATCTAAACTGCTATTCCCATTTTTCCTGAAACCAGTGTCTAATAAATCCACTCTTAAATCCGTGGTTCAAGAGCATCTAGGTAGGCATGCAGTTTATACTAAGTAATTGCTGTAATACCTTATCTATATATAACCGTTTGATGTCTAGTGGTCACTTTAGGGTTTGTCTTGCCTGTGCACACGTAATCTAGCCTTCGACCAATGCTAAGGCCTAATTGCTTTGTCCCCCTTTCAGTACATGCTTTCAGCTCCACCTACTGCTTGTTCTAGCCCATGAGAAGTCCTTAACCACTGCAATTGGTAATGATACTTAACGTCTTTTTAAAGTCAGTGAACTTTACTTAATCGAAAAAGGCATAGGTACGGTCAATACACTTTTATGAGTCTGCAGATATATACACTTAACAATATGTGATGCTTTAACTATAACGAAAAAAGAAGCGCAAAACATACTGCACCTTAAAAAGTGTATCAGAACTCTAGTTAAAAGGTATGTAATGCGTTGCTTTTAAAACGCAAATTATTTGTTTGATTTTACCTCTGTTTACCGGGCGACTTGAAGTTACACCCCGATGGTATGTCCTGGTCATGAGTGTGTATTATTCTATAGCCACAAAACGAGCATATTGAGTTGCATCGCAAACGTCATGGTTTCAGGTTGGACTATTTTGAGAGGCGGTATGTCTCCTTTTTAATCTTTATAGGCAATTATTTGTATGACTCGTTCTCTGTTACACTATTGATCTGTTTGTTGTAACATTCGCCTATGAGAAATTATTTGAATGCAGGCGTAAGAAGGAAGCTCGCGAGCCTCATTTGCGAGCACAGAAGGCGAGGAAGCTGCGTGGCCTAAAGGCTAAAATTGCAAACAGGGAACGCTTCAAGGAGAAGGTACAAATGCGGAAAACGATTCGATTGCATGAAATGAGGAACGTGAAGCAGAAAGCTGGCGAAACTGGTGTAATTGGTGAAAGACCCGTGTTTCTTCTCGATCGTGAAGAACAAAATATGTCCAAAGTCCTTTCAAATTCAGTCAAGCAGAAACGCGCAGAGAAAGCTGTGGGTCTCCCATGCTTTACCATTTTTCTCCTTAACTCCCGTTAGTGCCCACGTTTTAAGTTTTGCCTTATTGTTGTGATCATGCCATCTTTTAGGGCAAATGGCAAGTCCCCTTGCCAAAAGTGCGGATGGTGTCAGATGCGGAAGCATTCCGGGTGGTGAAATCTGGTAAATCAAAGAGGAAGGCCTGGAAGCGCATGGTAACTAAGATGTGCTACGTTGGGGAAAACTTTACAAGGAAACCACCGAAGTATGAACGTTTTATCCGTCCGATGGCTTTGCGGGCGACTCGAGCTAACGTTACCCATCCCGACTTGAAGTCCACTTTTTGCCTACCCATTATTGGTGTAAAAAAGAACCCCTCCTCTCCCTTATATACCAGTCTTGGCGTGATAACGAAGGGGACAATAATTGAGGCAAGTGTGAGGCCATACTCTCATTACGCGGTACCAATAATTCACTTACTCCGAACCCGTTCTTTTCCAGGTAAATGTGAGCGATCTCGGTCTGGTGACTCCTGGCGGCAAGGTCGTGTGGGGCAAGTATGCTCAAGTGACGAACAATCCTGAAAACGAGGGTTGCGTGAACGCTGTACTCATTGTCTAAACCAGTGTTGCTCCCGATTACGCTTGCATAGATTCCGTCCCAAATAAAATTTGGTAATGGGGCCGTCCTTTTTGTTAGTCTAGTCTTGACGCGGATGTACGATTCCTTGGTTTTGCACTTTTAATGCAAAACCTGTAAGGCGACTCGAAATCCGTCTATCTACTTGCTGGTTTTGGATGTAGGTTGGGCAAATGCCAGCGTATCAGACTAGGTGGAACCTGTTTTCAGTAGATTGGCGGCCGTTAACAACCAAGAAGAAACACCCGTTTCCTATGTACAAAGGTTTATTTAATGCGCTAACAAAAACTTATTTCGAAGACATATGCCTCATGAGCAAGGTGGTAAACCTTTCATACTTCTTGACATCTTGGGCCAATTCGGCGACATATTTAAGAGTCTAAAACTAAAAGAAAAAAGATTTGGAACTACGCTTTGGTTGTCAGAAGCCTTAACCATCAACTTCTGGTCCTTGTGTCGATACTTGGTAACTAATCTAAACTGGTAATAGAGAACAAACTAGTCAGAATACCACTTACCCCTAATGGGTCTTTACTATAAAGCATTTCTGCATCCTTTGCGAATTCTTCCCATGTTGCATACAGCGTCATCCGTACAACTTGCTTGAGGGGACCGTCCTATAGTGGCGCAAGGCTTTGTCTGAGCCATAAACCATAGCCAATCAGCACGCGCACATTCTAATTATCGTCATTAAAGGCCTACCCCATGAAGTGCATTTGGAATCACAGATGAGAAATGTGGGATTGGTTACTTTGAGTGTAATTAGGCATTCCTATTTGTAATAGCACCAGTGTAGGGATGAGGCTCCTGAAGAAAGAAGAAATATTTTAATCAAAAAGCAATACTTTAGATATGTATTTTGGACCGTTTTTGCTTTACTCAACATTCAGACGCGCAAGCAAATGCACTACATGAAATATAATCCAAGCAGACCTACAAGTGGCAACCTAGTTAGAATCGCTTTGTAGCAGAAGTGTTGCGGCAGAATTTCAAGTAAGGCCTATAACGTAGGTAGGCATTCTAACACACACGACATGCCAATTTCTGCTAAAAATAGCAGAAATAATATAACTGCAAATAGCGTTGGTTTAAACGAACGAAGACGGGATCCGAAATTAAAGATTAGTTAAGGTTGATTATTGGCTGCTATTGAGAGGCGATGGAAAGGCACTTGTGATTGATTATTTCGCATTTTTAGGATTTTTGGATATAAAATTCCAAATTTAGTTTTTATGCTTTAAAATTCGTTAACCTGCTTCAATAGATGAATTTCAAATTAATTTTTAGGTGCGCATTAGTTTATGAGACTAAATCGGGGACTGCTTGTTGTATCTTTTTTGCTACGTTTTATGTTTTACTTAGGTGGTCAATATTACACTATTCTGTTTTACTTGTTATAATGCGTACATCACGCCACACTTTTTTGTTTTCTCAGTGCGAGCTAGCCTGTACGATGCTCGAAGTGGCGAGTACGGCTCCATCCAGCTTACCGCCCCTGTATGACGATGTTTTTCCTGCATTACCCTCTGTTGGGACCGAACAGAGACCAGTGGCGGAAGGACTAGCTTCATATCAGCCTGCCGATTCTGTGGAGGTAGTAAATGTTTATGTGGCTGAAAGCTAGGTTGTTAAAATACCTCTAGATGAGAGGAGGTATCAGTCGACAGATGAGTCCATGTCATTGGAGCAGTCACGTGTTTGTGCTGCTATAGGGAAAAGTCTTGGCGTGAAAATTGAACTAACAAACTCAAAGAACAATTCTCTAAACATCCTTATTTCTGGTCCTGCAGCACAAGTTGCAAAGGCCAAAGTGATGGTTATCCAGGACTTACAGCAGCAAGTGAGTATCTTATCATATGATATGCAGTGATCAATTGAACCTAGGCCCAAAGGGTAATTAAAGTTCCCCATGAATTTCATCGATTTATTATTGGCTCTGGCGGTCAGAGGAAAAAGGATCTTGAATCAAGCACCCTTACCAAGATATATGTTCCATCTTCGTCTTCCAAATCAAATGAGATCATAATTGTTGGTTCCTCTAACAAGATTATTGCTGCGGAGAAAGAAATTCTTCGGATTGTGGAATACCAGTCTCAACAAGCTGAAGAAAAATTGACCATTCCTAAAATATATCACCCATTTATTTGCGGAGCGTAAGCGTGGAGGTCATAGATTTTTGATCTACCCTTTTTGTTATACACTAAAAACTTATATGTTTCAGCTTTAACCGCACTGTAAGCGAAATCATGGAGAGGACGGGTGCGAGGATTTCTATCCCTTCAGCAAGGAGCCCAAATCTTGACATCAAGGTGTCCGGGAAAAAGAATGAAGTTGCTAAAGCGGTTTCCGAAATCACCAAAATATACAAGGCTCGTGAGGAACGCTGTACCACAATAACTTGTTCGGTACAGCGCGACAAGCATCGCCTTGTTATCGGATTTCGCCGAAGTGGACTGCAGGAGATTTTTGACAAGACGGGAGTTTTCGTTGAACCTCCGGAAGACCCTGAGGGTGAGGAGTTTGTTCTCCGTGGCTTTCCTGAAGATCTTGGACTTGCCACGACCTTAATTTTCAAGCGTGCCTCCAGCTCTGCTACCAAATGTATTGTCGCTCCTCAGCGTCTTTACAAACTTTTGATTGGAAAGAAGGGATCCGCCTTAAATTCTATTCTGGAGGGTTATGCTGCCGTAGGTTTAGCTGCTTTTATTGGCTATTTTGATTTTTGGTTCTTAGCCTTATTACTCAAATCAATTTTGTTTTGTAGGTTCGAGTTGGGTTCTTAGAGGGTGAAGACAAGATAACGGTGGAGGGACCTCCAGAAGAGGTTTTGGTGGTCGATAAGCGCTTAAGGACAAGAGTCGACGAGCTCACTGCGTCGCACTACTTGGATTTCATAAAGGTGGATCCTAAGTACCATTTGAAGTTGTTGGGGAACGGCCCTGATAGCATAAATCGATATGTTCGGTCCCATCGCTTGAGTGTTTGGTTTCCATCCGCTAAGGAATGTGGGAGGATAGCAAATGAGTCTGACGTCTTTATTGAAGGTGAACGACAATCTGTTGAAAATGTGAAGGAGGAGATTAGCAAACTCGTTAAGAAATGGGTAAGTAATCACTTCGTCTCGATGTTGTGTTGGTTGAATAACTAGTTTCTAGCATGTGTTGTCTGTCGACCACTCCTATACTTTTAGTTATCGTAATGACTACTTGGTGCTACCTGGATGTACCGTATCCTTGGTAGAAATTTTTTTGTTTTTTTAGGAGAACGAGAAAATTAGGGACGTGATAGTTGATCCTCGTATCCAAAATTTGTTAAGGTCTGGTAATCCCCCTCCTATTCATGCAATAGAAGAAGCTTTTCCAGGAGCCGAAGTTAGGTGGCCTCAGCAAGCTGGCAGTGGTGATAAGAGACAGCGTCATAGCACATCCACTGGTAATGGGACTTCTGCCACCACGGACTACGTTTTGCAACTCTGTGGAGTTAGAGATCAAGTTGATTCTGCATTTGAGAAGCTTAACAAATTAGTAAAACAAATTACGGAAGAAAATTATGAGCAAGAGGTGAGGACTGCTTATGGGTTCCATTTCACTTCTTCCAGGTTTTTCAAATGTCATTTACTTTCCTTATAGTTCCGCATTTTCAAGGAGTGTCTTCCGCGCATTCTGGGCGCAACAATTGTTAATCTGCTGAGGGAAACGCGAACTCGCATCCACTATTTCCCTCCCTCTGACGACGGTTCTCAACCCGTCAGTATTATTGGTCGTCGAGCGGACGTTGATAATGCAGTTGCACGCCTTGAAAAATTACAGAAATCTATGGTAATGGTAGCTGTGACATAGTTAACAGGAATTTTCTCATTCGTTTTTGTTTAGTTACGTCCTGTCTGTCTTTGCAAGCACATCCCTCATTGAATTTACTTTTGATTCCTACCTTTCCAGGCGAACGTACAGGAAATTGCCATTACTTTACCCACATTGATGCTTTCGAAACAGCCCGGAAACTCGACCACTCCCGCAGCCCGTCTTCGATCCATTCGTGAGCAATGTGACGGCGTCCAGTTGAAGACGAATCCCGCTCAACCTCGCCAGCTGATCATTTCAGGCCCACCTGAGGCTTTGAAAAAGGCCAATATTCTTATCGAGTCAATGTGTGCGAAGATGCTCGAGCGTTGCTCTGACGTACTTTTCTAGTTGCTTTTGTTTTCTCATTAGTGTGTTCATTTTTTTTTTACTTTGCGTTTTTCTCCTAGTGCGTCGTATTTGCGAATCCAAAGTTCCATGGCCAGTTGATTGGTCGTGGCGGTGCCACGTTGAAGAAGTTTCGTGAAAGACACAATGTTGAGGTTCTTTTTCCGGATCGTTTAGAGAGCGATCCAAAGCGTGCCTCAGAGATCCACGTTATTGGTGAGAAGGAAGCCGTTGTGAAGGCGGTGGAGGACATGAAACAGACAGTGAAGAATATGGTAATTGCTTTGAATGCTTTTTAATGTTAACGTTCCTCAACGATTCACTCATTTGTATCGCCTTTTTTTAATTTTAATGTGCAATGCGGTTTTACCGTGGGACTGTTCAGTATATCAAAACTACATGACCAATACGACATCGTGAATGTTGTCCAGTCCAATGCTTTTTTTTAGGAGGATGAAACAGATATCACAATAAAGTGTGAACCATCTGTTATTAATGATCTTTGGGTTTACCGAAGCGCTTTCCATCATCCAGAATTAGATCGTGTTAAGGTTATATTTCCAAAATCACCTAACTCCTTTAATCGTCGTGCTGATCAGGGAGGAAGTGGGCATCCTTCCTCAAACGAGAATGTGGATGCTACAATCCGCATTTTCGGACCGAAGGGTTGTATTGAGGTGAGTCCAGTCTATTTTGACGTTTGTGGATTTAGTCTACCCGTCTTTTTAATAGTGAAGTTTTATCGATAAAGTTATTATGTTTCTCTATTAATTTGACTCAGGATGCGCAGCAGTGCATAATGAGCATGATCGAAGACGTCAAGAACCAGACGGTTGTCAAACACCCGGTAACTGAGGTTGACCAGTTCCAAGTCCTCAGTCGACTTCGTTCAACTATTTCTGATATGCAAAAACGTCATCAGGTCTTGATCAGCTTACAGCTTAACCGAGGTACCATCATATCATATCACTCTCGAATAACTCATTCATAAGTGTGGGGCAGAAACTGATGTTGCTTTTCAACACCTCATAGACGGCTTTCGAGAAGATCAAAGTGAGCGGATCCTATACGGTCATATAGTTCTCACCGGCACTGCAGAAAGAATCAATAGTGTTCTGAAGAACGAAATCCTTCCTTTGTTACCTATCTCCCAGGAGGTTGCTTTCCCGCGTGAGTTTTACGGCAAACTATTTATGGCTGAACAGCCTCCACAACCACCACAGACTTCCACTCGCCGAGGACAGGGGGCTTCTCAACGAGGTATTGGTCATATGAAGAATGGAAATTCTCGCGCCACCGTTTTGTCTGGCCATCAGTCTGAAAATGGGGAAGCAGCACCCAAGACAAGGCTAAATGCCCTTCGAACTAAATTCAATGTATGTCTGCCCTCTATCTGTTCTTACTGTTCTGGTGTGCACGTAGTAGGCATTTTTCGTCACTCTGATAGGTTTTCATCAGTGTCCCTCCAAGAATCCCTCGAGGTTCTGATCGGATCACCATTCGTGGCACTCCTGATGCTGTTGAGGCTTGTAAATCTGAGTTAATTTCTCTTGAAGCTCAGTTCCTGGCTGAGAAGGCGGACTGGGAAGCACGTAACTACGAGGAGATCCTAAATACAGAGGAACGTTATCTTGGCCGGATTATATCTGGGGAAAGGGAACGGTTACTAAATCAGTATGGTGTAGCTATTTTCACGCGAGGTCGCACCGCTGCGTCTTCAAATGCTCAATCTACTTTATTGAATTCGGAAACCGATGGTGGAGATGCTCCTGCAGAGGGATCCAGTCTCCCCAACAACTTAGCGGATGGTGGACGCTACGCCGGTTATCGTCTCGTAAGCTCAGCTAACGTGCCTCTGGTGCTCCAGGGCTACAAGGAGAAAGTCAAGTTGGCTCGTGAAGAGTTGGAAAAGCTCTTTCAAAAATTTACTTCATTTACGTGCATTGAACTTCATATTCCTTTGGAGGTGAGCATTCAGCTACTCATGTAACGCCTTCTCTCAAATAGGCTCATGCACGTTTGATTGGGTCTCATCACTATAACATTCACCGTTTGGAAGAGTTGTATGATGTTGATGTGGAGTTTCCACCCCGTGGAGCTAAAGGGGAAGCAGCTGAGGTCGTCCTCGTAATGGGGTACCCTGATAACGTTGATGAAGCCTGTAATGAATTGATTAACAAGGCTAACGATATTGTAAGTCTTTGTTTGAACATGTAATATTTCGTCTAGTGTGCACAAATCCAGGAATCTAGTGCTTTACAAAAACCAGATCCTCGAGAGTCGCCAAATCGGAGCGATTTTCTGGTACTTGGTGCTCCTTGGGAATGCACCCAAAATAACCCTCCTTCAGACAAATAATTTGGTCCCTCTCCTCGCTTTTCACGGTCCTTACCTTTATTTCCTGCCATTGCGTGCATTCTTTTCCTTTCGTTTGGATTGTGATCCCACTGGCACTTGTTCTCAGGCATTCTTAGATGGTTGGTACAGCTGCATTCGTTGATGTCTTTCCCGTCCGTTTTACCTCGCCTCCATTCCTTCCCTTCCCTTTCTCCTCGGCCCTCCCTACTAGTGGCTCCTCACTTTGAGTCCTCCCCACTGCTGTTTTGCTATGACTGTTTAGTCTCCTGGTTTTTATCATGACCAGTCGACAATTTTCGGGCCCCTCCTTCTCCACATTCGTCGAGCAATGATGTGCCTTTATCTTACCACTGCTCTCGTCACCTACCAACTGTATCTCTTTTGATCCCACATATTCTTAATACAAATTAACATTTGTGTAAAGCGGCTGCTCTTGTGAACGTCTGGCGCAATTGCCCACTTAAATGAGAATGGTTCGTTAACGATTTATTGTTCAAACATTTATCCTGCAAATACGTCTTAACATTCTTCTAAGTCCAACCAGTTACTACTTCACTGGCAAACCAACTACCTTCGTAACTGAGGGTGTCTGTACCTTTTGGATCACTCTAAGCATTATTGGTTAAAGCTATGGCTAAGTCGCTACCTCATATCCGTAAGCTACCGATGAGGCTTGAATGTTCCGTTCGAAATCACATTGGTAACATACCAACTGCTCTCTTTCGAAGTTAGGCTTGCTTGTCGCGCTTTCACATTCGATGGGCATTAGTGATTAAAAATGTGCAAATGTAAAGAATTGAAGTAGCTTGGTTTTGAAGTGGTTAGAAATTGGAACTTCAGTAGTTCTGAGCAGTTCTCGTTCGACACCTCTCACGCTTTCAGCACTCCATGGAACTATCCATGACAATATTGCTTGAACTACCTTTGAGGCGAGAGTAAGGGGTTGATGGTATTTTGGGGTACAAAGTTGCGTGATTGGGTTGAAAATTTTGTGTGCAATTTTTGTTTGGTACAGAAGACCATTTCCTTTAGTGCAGTCATTCGTGAGACCTCCTAGTGCAGTAGAGCTGAACGTCTGGCTAACAGGAACAATGGACTTGGTTTAGGAAAAATCTTTCAATTCCAAGTTCTCTATGCATAAGGCAGTCCTCTTCTCTTTTTCGCTGGTTTGGTTGCTTGGTTAGTTAGTTCCTCATTCCCCAAATATATCCCATGCTGATGCAGGTTGTTTAATTTCGGAGCTTGGCATTCCTCATATTATCAGTAAAGATCAAAAGGGTTTAGGCTTGGTGAACTGGAGGCCTACTAACGAAAATGGTGATAATCAGACAGGCATATGGAGGTTGTGATGTCTTTACGAGTTAAAGTATTTGATGTTTCGGTCGAAAACGCCTTCACCAAATGCAGTCTGATATGCAATGGGACTTTGTATTGAATGGATGGTTAGGGATGATGCATGTCCCAATCCTCTGTTGGCCTCATCAATGCCTTGAAAGGTAGGAGCCTGCTCTAAATCTTTTCACTATGGTAAAAAAAGGAATCAAACAAATGAACAGCAACCGTTAGCAGTATTACAAGAATCCTTTAGGTAGAGCTGTTGTGACGTTTATCCACGGGAGATCCCTTCTCATTTGCAACCAAAAAAAGATATTTGTGTAGCATCAAACACATCGTGCAATACGTTGTGGATGCTACCTCACATTTCCCGCGGTAAGCAAAGCTAAATTTTTTTTACTTTCACTCTAAACGGCTTTGAATAATTGAGGTTGTATAAATTTCTCTACTAAATACATCAAACACTGAACGTTTTTGGGATTCGCCATCGCTTTCGTTTATGTCGATAGGTTGTGAAGGGAGCTGTGCAATAGTTCTACCCTTACTTCTTAGTCTGTGTCCTTTCAAAGGGCAGGAAAGTAGTTGTCCAAACAAGGTGCAGCGTCTAAAGTGGTGCAGTTGACAATATTAACAAAATAATATCATATGTGTCAAATCTTTTAAGCTTAGGAACATTATTTTCAACTAGTTCACACTCTGGGGGATCAGCCCATACTCCCCGACCTTATCGACTACCAGGAACCTTGACGGAATACAGTGACGCCATCTCCACGGATGAAAATGAGGAAATTGGTACGAATTAACTGCTACCAATCTCTCGGCTTTTCCAATGAGAAGTTTGTTTCTCGTAATGAGCCTCTGGAGCATACATCTTTGAGGATATTACGCAAATTAATGGTAGGGTAAGGCGAATTTTTGGTGCATTATCACCGCATCTTCAACTCGAGAGCAAAGCATTCCCTGTATATTGCATGTAGATGGACCGAGTCGTAGTTAAGCCACTGCCTCGCTTCCGTGACCAGCCAGTTAGGAGCAGTTGCAGTGGCGGTTAATTGAGGCCATGGAGGAACTAAAGTTGGATGGGCGATTTTTAAGTTTCTTGGATTTCGCTATTTGCAAGTTTTTTTATGTTTAAGTGGCATGCTAATCACGGAAATTGCAAAATTGTGATCACCACTCCTGGGAGAGATGTTTCTGGTACATTATCTTTTCCAAACTTACGAAATTTAACAGCTGATTCTGTCATCATTTGAAAAGGTGTTCATTTATAGAAGTTCGTCTAAATGTACTTAGATTTTGTACGGTGAACTTCCCTCCAGGCTAAGGGACTTTCAATGCTTGGATGAAATATATCTTGCCGGAATACAGAAGAGTTTTGAGCCACTGGTTTGCGCCTTGAGGTGCAGTGACGGAAGTCCACGTGCTCACGTAACCAAAACGATGAGATAGGCAAGTGATTTGAGTATTGCATCGTCTCTCTTCATTTTAACGACGCCCTTGGCGATCCTCTTGCTTAAACCTTTTATGCCAACAATCACGACTTAATCAATGCCGTACCAAAAGCATCCACAATGTCATCAAGTTTGCGAGGATTCGAGAAAGTTTTTGGCCTCAATGCTACCTAGCTCACTTGAGTGAATCATTGGACCTAGAGTTTTTACCAATTTTAAAATGGTATTGGCACCTTGTGTAGTCGTCCCTAGTCAGAATACCGCTGACCTCATAATATTTTTGTGAGAGTGAGCGTTAACATACGTTCCTCTCTAACACCCCATTCTCACTTGGACAGTTCCTTGCTGTACTTATCCGAGTCCTCTCAGGCTGGTGGAAAGAGGGGCGGCATAATTCATGCTCCTATGGGAATGCATATTCTTTGGCTTCGCGTTTCAGTGAAAATCAAGGAAGCGACGATAATCGAGCAGAATGTTCTGCTTGAATGCAGAAGTGATAATAACTATTGGCGTGGATCTGAGGGCGTCTTGTCGAGGGGACGTACAGTGATAACACTCGTAAGTGGATCAAATGTACAATAATCAAATCAAATGTACAAATCAAATCAAATCAAATGTACAATAATCAAAGTATTACAGTAACTTTGGTTTAACTGTACACGAATGCGTTTGTGTCCCCAGCGTTTCTCGCCTTGGAGCACATAATTACTTTGTATTGGTTAATCAAAATTTGTCGACACTTATGCCTGTTTTAGCTGTTTCTTTTTGTCAAACTATTTTGGTTTTTTGCATGTCTGATGAGGAGAGCACAGGATTGAGGTTTCTGTAATAGTTGCATTTTCCCACTAAACTAATATTCGTATTCAACTGAGTCGCATATCAAAACTCGGAACTGTGAAGAGCAAGTTTCTTGTTACGGCGTGCAAAGCATCGTCAATTTTCAACAACATTTTTACATACTCTGAATACTTTTTTTGATAGAATGCAGGAAGTGTTATGGAAACACTGCACTTAATGCCATCCACAAATGAAACTCGTGTTATGTTTGCTCTTGGTTGACTGGGAATTATAATTTATGCCTTAACTTGTAACAATGTTCTGTACAATGCTGGACAGTGGAGTGTTTTTTATCCCTTGATATACAGTAAATGGGCTGTCACCACTTCCCCCATGACCCTCTTTGGCTCCCCTCTTCTTTCTTCGCCATTTGAACCGAAGGCATCGCCCCTACACCTGCGAGTTTTGCGATCAAAATTGATAGAGCACGTCCCGCTGCCAAAGGCGAGTGTATTTACAGGTGAGCGATCTTTCATAAAACACAAGATGAGGTCAACTGACAACAACGTGTTAGCGATTCGATTGTTTATCCATATCTCAGAGTACTCGCGATACAAAAAATGAGGGCACGACGACATGCTAGTACTGAGGAGAGCGTCAGCATAATGCTCCATATTCTCTGAATTTGGACTTAGCCACGAAAACGGGACTACCGCGTCATCCTCTCTGCCGCTTGTTCAGATACTGCAACAGGTTGTGTTTGGTCCAGTTTAAGTAGCACTAATTCTTTCTACTTCTAATCTGGCTGAGGCGGTCGTCACTCGACCACAGCCCATCAAAAATGAATTAAATATGAGGTAATAGGTTTCTAATAACAAGTCCTCCCACAATCCAAGTAAACAAAAGTTAGTGAAAAGCATCGCACTCCCATTAGCGTACGGCCTTTCCCTTTGTTTATTAAAGAGGTCATGTTGGGCCATTTATACATGCGTAGAAGGACAGAGCGTGCTGAGACTGGAACAGTGGCATGCAAGGAGCCCACGCTCAGAGGCTGAAAAGGATTGAGACTGGTGATGACCTAATGCGTACCTCGTCCAAGATAGTTCGCTTCGAAAGGCCGATGCCACCTTTTAAAATGAGCATATGCAAATAAGATGGACGTGAAATATTAACTTAGAATAAGTTTTTTGGTTTGTGGTAGGGATTGAGGGTGAGATCACGTGTTACCGAAACCGGTGCGGCATCACCATGACCTATTAAAGTCGCATGCGGCAATAACATGATGTGAGCTGATGACCTGCTTTTGTTACTCCACTTGGTGTAAAACGAAACCGTAATTTGTCTCTTTTGCTTCATTTGGGTTTCAAATGCTTGCATTATTAGAAAACGACAAATGAAAAGCCACTTTATTTCCATTAATAGGTTTGGTGTTTGAGGCCCACCGCTTTATCTTTTAACTCAGATTCCTGCCAATAGAAACAAATAGTCGGCTCAAATGAAAGTCTTGCAGAGAAGTGATTGAATGCTAAAAAAGAGCAGAGATGGCAAGCGTAGAATGCTCATGCTGTTATCTTATTTA